GTATATTCTATTATCTCCTTCTGATATATAATATATATTATATATCATATATATTATATTATATATCATAATATATATTGTATTAGGATTTTAGTCACGAGAGAGTCTGCTATGTATACATGAATAATATATAGAGAGTAAATATGCTCACAGATAACAGAGAGTGATGTGTTTTCAGTAACGGTGTGGTTTATTTGTCACAGAGATATAACATGACACGTGGTATATCAATATCATATCATTAAAAATATAAATGGAATTTCTTTTACAGAAATCTACCTAGGAATTTTTGCGTGCGAGAGAGATCGCTGTCTCTGTCACGCGCTCTCTCTAACTATCTATCTATTCATGAAAAATCTTAAAATCTTAGCACCGATGACTTTATAAAATCGACACATATATTTATTATAATAAACTAAGGTTGTTGTTAGACTACCAGCCTAGAGAATATGTACGCACGCATGCACGCGTGCTCACAGACAAATATACACGCACATGTGCATGCATGCGTGCACACAGACAAATATACACGCACAGGTGCATGCATGCGTGCACACAGACAAATATACACGCACATGTGCATGCACGCGTGCACACAGACAAATATACACGCACACGTGCATGCACGCGTGCCACATGCACCGACAAATATACACGCCAAGTGCAATGCATCGTGCACACAGACAAGTATACACGCACACGTGCAAATGCACGCGTGCAACAATATACTACCACGACGTGCATGCACGCGTGCACACTAGACAAATATAATACCCTCGACGGTGCACACAGACAAGTATACACGCACACGTGCATGCACGCGTGCACACAGACAAATATACACGCACACGTGCATGCACGCGTGCACACAGACAAATATGACATCGCACACGGCATGCAGCGAGCGTCGCACCACAGACAACGTATCACGTCACAATGTGGCCATGCACGCTGCACACAGAGCAATATCACGCCTACGTGCATGCACGCGCGTGACACAGACAAGTATATCACGCACCATTGTTGGATGCACGGACTTGGTGTGACCCGACAAATATACACGCACGACAAGAACCACTGCCAATTAGAAAAGGGCGCAGGATGTAATGCATTTCACAGTTATAAGAAAACAACGTCATTATGCAAATCTATACGTAACATATCGAACTCACAGTAAAGTCATACACAGTAAACAGTTGTAACAACAACAGAGAGCACTACCGCTACAGGTTAATGAGCTAATTCTAATTAGCTAATGTTTATTAGCTAATAATGTTTAGGAAGCGACAGCGGTTTCGATGACATAGCTCAGTGTTTCACACATGATAAATATCTGTAAGATTGATGCGCGTCTACCATGGAACCAGAGTCCTGTGTGAGTAAACCACAAACCTACGTCACAACCCCCCCCCCCACACACACACACACCACACACGGTCCGCACATTCGCGCACACTAACACCTTTCTCATAATGTACAAAACCTCTTAAACGTGCACCAGTCTCTTGCGCACATGAATGTATATCCCACAGATCGTAAAAAAACGCACGGAGTACGCACGCACGCATGCACATAAAAGAAACGCATGCCCATGTTGTGTGGTGATGTCTATAATTATAATAAGGAGCATATCGAATAGAACCCTGACCAACATTCGTTAAAATGCTACTATCCCGCGGTCCCTAACGACCCGGATAGAAAAAATACAATCATATCGTGATGTCAAATGTGACGATTAAAACAACTCTTCTACTGCAGCCGTATTGCTCTCTCTCCCGGCCTCCAAAACACCTCCTCCCTCCCGGCCTCCTCCTCCTCCTCCAAAACACCTCCTCCCTCCTCTCCTCCTCCTCCTCCAAAACACCCTCCTCCTCCCCTCCTCCTCCTCTCATAACACGGCAAGTAGATGGAAGCAACGATGCTCGTCTCCCTAGCGACCGTTGCCATGACAATGCTCGTCTCCCTAGCGACCGTTGCCATGACGATGCTCATCTCCCTAGCGACCGTTGCGATGACCCCCGCAAAAAAAACCTGCTGTTTGCCAGTGACAGAACTAGATTTTACATAACTCGATGATGATGCGTGTTTCTCTGCTGGGCTGTTACGCGCAGCTAATAGCAGCAGCAGCAGCAGCACCCTCACACACTGCTAACAGAACTAGTTCTCCTCCCTCTCACACACACAGCCACCGATTCCTAACCAAACTGCAATTCATGTGAGTTTTACGCCCACAGATGGCGCACTGTGACGTGGTACAGCGTGCGCGGCGATACCTGCACAAGAACTGCGAACGCGTGTCAAAATAAGCTCCTCGTAAAATATATTGCCATATTCCTCACCGTTAGTGACATTACGAGCCGCTAGATGGCGCGCACCACACCCCTCCCCCTCGGCCTCCCTCACCTCTCACCACACATCTAACCTCTCCCGCCGCCGCCGCTGCCACGCGTCAGCCAAACAGCTTCGAGAAGCAACTGTGCAGTACGGCTTATCGTTCTGCTCCTTGAACGTTCCTTTGTTGAGCTGCTTGAGGCAGAAGGCGGCAGACGAAGTGCTCTGGGTGGAACTTGCGGTACATGGCGGTGATGCAGCGGCCGGTGATGGGTTTGCCGCAGCCAGCGCACAGCGAGCCCCGCTTCGCGTGGTAGTGCGTCTCGCAGTAGGGCATGCCCTCGTGGTCGAAGAACGATCCACCGTTTTGGGAAGCGGCATCCGACACTCCTGAAACAGAGTGGTGGCAGCATGTACACGGCGACAAAACAAGAGTGTGTCGTGTATACGGCGACAAAATAAGAGTGCATCATTTACCCAGCAACAAAACAAGAGAGCGTCATGTACACGGCGACAAAATAAGAGTGCATCATTTAAGATCTCGTGGTCAAAAAACGAGCTACAATCGAAAAGAATCCGACACTCCTAAAACGAGACTAAATGCGTTATTTTCATAATAGTCTTAAAGTTACGAAGGGGCGGGTCTAGCATCTCGTAATGTTAAAAGGGGGAATTTGGTGTGTCGGGGGATTTTCATGTCTCGTAACTTTAGTGATGTTTTTTGTCCATAGGTCTAGACGCTGAAGCTGATGTTAATACTAATGTTAATACTACTGTTAGGATAACGTTAAGACTAATGTCAAGACTAATGTCAAAGACTAATGTTCAGACTCACATGGCAAGAGCCGGCGGCAGACTAAGGTTAAGACTAAAGTCAAGGACTCATGTTAAGACTAATTAAGACTATCGTGTAAGACTAAAGTTTAAGACTCAATGGGCAAGATTACTGTTAAGACAATCTTGTATCTTGAGCGTGTCACGCAATACTATCCTACCAATGCAGACGAAGCAGTGCCGGGGTGCCACTGTGCTCGCGAGGGCATGATGTAGTTCTCGATGATCGGACCGATCGCACGCCTGACACTTGGAGCGAACATCTCGTAGTAGTCGTCTGCGGCATCTACGCCTTGCCGTCCTTCTCATGGAAACCTTCCTCTCCGAACGCGCGACCGCACTGCTCGCAGAAGAAGTGCTCAGGATGGCCAGGTGCGGCTCTAGTGCCGTGACGCACTCTGCTGAGAGAAGGAAGCGAATGAGAGAGAGAGAGAAGTGAGAGGAGAGGAGAGAGAGAGAAAGGGAGAGGAGAGAGAGAGGAGAAGGGGCAAGGAGAGGAGAGAGAGAGAAGAGGGAGATGAGGAGGAGAGAGTGAGGGAGGAGAGTGAGAGAGAGAGAAGGGGGAAGAGAGGAGAGAGAGAGGAGAAGGGGATAGGAGAAGGAGAGGAGAGAGAAGGGGAAGAGAGAAGAGAGAAGAAGGGAATAGGAGAGGAAAGAGAGAGAGAAAGAGGGGAGGAGGAGGAGCGAGAGAGCAGGGGAGGAGAGGGAGGAGAGAGCACGACACGGGCGCGCATGCCAGAGGAAGAGGAGAGAGAGGGAGCAGGAGAGGAGAGAGAGAGAGGCAGGAGAAGAAAGAGGAGAGGGAGCGGGAGAGAGAGAGCAGGGGGGGAGAAGGAGAGAGAGAGAAAAGGGGAGGTAGGGGCAGAGAGTAAAGGGGGAGGAGAGGAAGAGATGAGAGAGGAGGGAGAGAGAAAGAGAGAGAAGGGGAGAGGAGAGAGCAGAGAGGCGGGAGAGGCGAGAGAGAGCAGCGGGGAGAGAGCCGAGAGTGAGAGGGGGGAGGCGCGGAGAGAGAGAGAAGGGGAGAGCGGAGAGAGAGTAGAAGGGGAGGAAGAGAGAGAGAGAAAGAGGCTAGATGAGAGAGAGAGAAGGGGCGACGAGAAAGAGAGATAGATAGATATAAAAGAGGCATACATGGCTTTCTTTTCAATTATCTCCAATGGAGGAGCTCAGAAGGTCGATAGGTCATAAATAAGTAGAGAACGAAGAAAGAGAGAAAGAGGAGGAGAGGAGAGAGAGGAGAGAGAAGGCGAGATGAGAGATAGGGAGAGAGCAAGAGAGGAAGGAGAGAGGAGAGAGGAGAGAGGAGAGAGAGAGAGATGAGAGAGAGAGAGTGGTGAGAAGGGATCAGAGATAGAGAGCCGAAGAGAGCAGCAGAGAGAGAGAGAGAGGAGAGAGAGAGAGAGAGAGAGAGAAAAAGAGAGAGATATATATATAGATAGATTCCCTATTATCTACTTTTGATATATATATATCCCTTGCGTTTTAACAGATATTCTTTCAGCTGTAGCATTGCTTCTTACTGTTAACTGTGTCACGATCATCAGGATCCAAATCTATCTCACGGCTTGGACAGACTTTTCACTCGCTAGCTATACACGCTTAGAAAGTAGTTATTCAGTAGTTTTGCGACCTATATAGTGGGCTGGTTTAGGAGCTTAGTACATGAGCACTGACCGCGATCCTACATGATCTTGTTTCTTGCTTCGCGTGTTACAACAACATGTGGCCAACAACAACAACAACAACAACAACAACAACAACAACAACAACAACAACAACAACAACAACAACAACAACAACAACAACAACAACAACAACAACAACAACAACAACAACAACAACAACAACAACAACAACAACAACAACAACAACAACAACAACAACAACAACAACAACAACANCACAGAAAAAACCCCATCGACCAATCACAGAGCACACACGTGCACAGAATTAACCAGCAAACGCATTTTTTGTCGCCGACAAAAAAACGATTCGATCGGGTTTCGCGTAACAAGAGAGCATTCGGCGGCGGCGGCCGCGGCGGTGGTGTACTCACATCGAGGATAGGTTTGCTGCAGTAAGCGCACTTGGGAGAGAACAGGTTGTGGTAATCCTCCTCGCAGTACGGCTTGTTGTCACGCTCAAAGAAGTTCTTGTTTCCCAGCTCCTGCTTGCAGTGATCACAGGTGAAGTGCTCCGGATGCCAGGTGCGAGCCAACGCTGTCACCATCTGGTGGCGAGAATAGTAGTTAAAACTGCATGTTCTCGCAGCAAAATGCATAGCTATACCTACTGTGAGCTGGTCTATGTTGTAAAAAATCACTACAACTCATTTGTGTTGCTACTTTCATAACATTTCTTCAGCAAACCTAAACAGTCTTACGAAACTAGTACTTTCAATGTTTACACAGTGTTTGCACATCCGGGACATAGGCGAGCGATCGCAGTTTTCATTAACAGTTCTTATCTATGACAAGTTATAATTCATTCTATGTTTGTTCAGTACAAAATTGTGAAATTTGAACTTTGCCAATTGAAGGGAAGTGTGTCTATTCGACTTAGTAATGCATTACT